TTTATCACGAACGCCTTTTCGCCAATTCAGTATATTTGTGCAATCATCGTGATCAGTTAATAGAAAAAAAGCAAAGGAGAAGGAAATAGCTTAGTAGATTTTAGGAGGTATTGTTATGCAACCGCATTAATGGCGTGTCGTTTGCAATCCAATTATAATAACTTGCGCATACGACGCGCGCATCCCAAGAGAAAGGGAGTTTTTGTCTTATCTATTTAGCATTAACAGCTTTAAATTTCCACAACACACTGTTCATTCTCACTCAAGGAAATTTAAATATGCTATCCAACAGCATTAGGACGCAAATTGGAACAAGACCAACAGATTACCTGACTCAGACTGAGTAGTTTTCTCTTTATCAAAACATCACTTCTCTCCAAAATGTCCAGAAATGTAGCCATGCAGGATTTTTGGTCAGGGGGGGGGGCAGCAAAAACGTAGGTGGGCTATGTTTCACTTCTTTTTATAGAATAAATTTTCCCAGGGGGCATCAAAATTTTACCAGGGAGGGGGTGGGGTCCCCCGAGCCCCAACATGGCTACGCTAAAGGCGTACATGAACAACGAAATACGAGTGTTTGAGGATTGGTTGATACAAAAACAGAGTCGTAATGAGGTTCCAGTCACCGTAACTCAGAATTGGTATGTTGGCCCTTGAGGCAAAGAGTTAACCTCCGTTCTTTGGCTTAATATAATAATGGATTAGACGCAAAGCCAATAAACAACCATTACCCGGACTAATAAAATTAATTGACGAGAATAAATAAGATTGTGAATACCGAGTAATACTTAGTTTATGGTATATAGTCATTTCTTTGTTTAGCACCACTTCTTCCCCACCCCCGGCCCTCTCCTGTAAGCAATTAATGTATAAAATCGTGGAGTGAAATTGTATTTGAAACTTGAAAGATAATTATGATATTTTACGGAAAATTACAGTACTCGATGTTGCATATTTAAAGAGAATAAAACGTGCAAACAGATTCTTTGTGTATATTAGAAATACCTCTCTCCCCCCCCCCCAAAAAAAAGATAAATTACGGTATGAGTTCTAGAACGTTTACAGGACCGTACGCAGAATGTTTTCATCAGCTGGGGGCAGTAAGGCCTATATGCCGAAAAACGTCACAAATATCCAATTAATAATGATATTGCCTCCCCTGCTGTGTACGGCCCTGAATATTTAGGATTGTGATAATATTTAAAGCCTGAAAAACAAATTTGCTTGCAAGCGTTATGCAATTGCTGTAGTATAAAATAACATCATATTTTAATTAATATTTTAAATAAGTTATTATTGTAATGTTGGCTTGGAAGTGTTCCTGGCGAGGGCTCGATACGGTACATTGCTCAGAATGTTTGGTAAACTCCATTAAAATGCATAGAACATAAAAATATCATATATTTTTAAAATATTCCGATGTCATCTTGTTTTACTTCAGCCCTGTTTTCGCACATTTCATAATTTTTTCTTGTCCAGTCCTAGATTGAGATCAGTTTTTCTTATCTGCGCGTGCGCATTACGTGTTTTGTGCTCAAGCGCATGCGTATTTGCAACACAACAATGGCGGTTCATGGATTCCGAAACACGAGGAAGCGTGAACTTTGCAGGGCTTATACTTCAATTTGTGCAACTATTTCGCTTGGGGGGAAGTGGATTCTAACTAAGTAAGTTATAATCTATAGATTCATGTAAAAATTATGTAGTTACACGAGGGGTGCTACGGAATTGAACATTTTCGACCCTCATCCAACGGCCTAATATCGACTATCGAGTAATATCGAGTATAAATGTTTACGAATACATAAGTTAATTATTAAGCAGCTGTTAATTAATAGCGTGCGTGTGAAATGAACATTTATCCATAAAAGGATTTGTTATTTTATTATATATTCTACCACCTCAAACTCAAATTATAGGCATATAGAAAATACTGTAGTTTAGAATAATGTGTGTTTACTTTGATGCACAGTTAAAATAATCAGTAAAATTACTTTATTTTGATAAACTAATGTCTATTGATCTTAGTATATTTCACAAGTACTAGTACCCAAAAATACAGCATTGAGATATGTTGGCCAAGTGCGACACCACAAATTATTATTGTCTCCCCACACGTCGCGTTTAAAGAAAATGAAAGCTTGTTGCTCGTTTAACGCCGGATTAACCACGTGTCAAATACGGCAAATGCCGTGGGCCTCGCGCTTTACTGTGCTACGCCCATTTTTACGAGAACACGGCCATTTTCTATTGCAACACACCCATTTTAGGTGTCTCGCGCATTTAGGGCCCCTAGGCTTGGCAGTTCGCCCTATAGCACGGCCCCGGGAAAATATGCAATACTCGTGTTCATATAATCTCTAGTTGCGTTGAGCTGTTATATTATGATCCTGTTTATACCCACCAACTGCGCCAGGCAGGCCATTATCTCGTTTATAATTGTGCAAATAAATTGAAATATTGAAAAAAATTATTTAACACTTTTGTGTGTCTTTAAATTCAATGGTTTTCATAAAAAGAAGAAAGGGGGAGGATTGGGGGCCTCGCGCTAAAATTTGCCACGGGCCTCGCGCGACGTTAATCCGGCCCTGGTCACTTGTCGGTAGTTCTTGCGGTTTTAATGCCAATTGACAAAGATCAAAAGAGAGCACTGATGATTCCTCCCGTCGGAGAAATACTGGCGCAGCCCAAACCAGCCCAGTGAAATATGGGGCCCCAGGGCCAATTATACCCTTGGGGCCCCGGTGAACCACAATTACCCCCCTCCGTCGACAAACCTTTTATCGCCTTGCAAATTTGTATTTGCCTGTCTTCCTTGAGCTGGGGTCGCGGAGAAAATTGCTCCCTTTGCCGCCTCCCTGCATGGGCGGCCCTGGCGCCGCCCTTGTCTTATCATAACTATCTACCCTAATTCAAGCTGATTGGCGCGGCTCGATGAATTAATTGCCGTTTTCAAACAGAGGTTTATTATTTTAAACCTCTAGAACCAGGGTACCTTTTGTCACTCTGAGGCCAGCGAAATAACCTCTTCCGCAACATGCACGTACGCGTCTACTATCGTCAAGAAACAAGCAATACGTATAATCGTTGTGGTCTGTGGGATTTTTTCCACAAGAAACGTCATATGTTCGTTTTGGGGGTGTGGGAGGGGGGTTTACAGCTGTGACGTTTCTCTGTAAATATCATGGAAAAGTTCGATAGCTTTTTCGAATACCTTAACATTTCGGAATCAACTTTGCAGAGTATAAAAAAGAAAACAACTTGAAAGAAAACGACTATTCAAATATAAGGGTTGGTAAACTAAAAATAAAAACTCCTTATATGGATAAACATTATAAACGTTCATTTCACATGTAGTACACGCACGCTAACAGCTGCTTAATAATTAACTTACGTATTTGTAAACATCAGTCGATAAATAAAATGGTATATTAATATGGATAAAATGGATCAAAACCTCTGAAAACAGCAGTTGTAGTTCCAATTCTTTTGGGGAATTTAGTAGCAAATATAATCCTTAAATAGCTCATCGATTTGTATATGTTAGCGCTAAAGTCAAACGGCCGGGTCGTAGATCACGTTGAATAATGATCTGAAGTTATCATGCAACCGTCAACAATGTCTCAAAATACTGGATGTTTGATGATTTTTTTTACAAATATACCGGGATTTCTGGACCACTTTTAAACTTAGCACAGCGAAAAGTCCCCATTCAAGAATATGTTTTTTCTCAAAAGGTAAAATACTTAGAATACTTGATTAAATTGTTTACTTCGACGGTGTATAAATTAACAGCGTTTGACTTGCAAGACGTCAAAAACGGAAGATTTCAACGCGCTGTCGTTTATCGCGTTTTCATTTGCCAAAAGAAGTATTTACGTCAAGTGAAAGCTTGTTTATTAAAGAGCCAACTAGTAGAAGCATGATCGATTTGGAGCTTTATCGCATGGTGAAAATCGATTTTGTTAAGAGGGTATCGTAAATGAAGTAAGATAGTGTGCTCCAAAACTACGATTATTTCTATTCCTAAAAGTAACTCAGATTTCCTGTAAATCATGTACACAGTCCTTTGAATAACCGAAAACAAGATTTTTAGGGTTTTAGATCGATTAGAAACGGTTGTCGTCGTGAAATTTATCTGTAAAATCAGTGCATATTTTCCCAGAAAAAATGGCGATTTAGGGTGGTCGTGTTAAAACGGCATTTTCTCAAAGTTAAAAAAGCATTTGACCTAAAAAAATATATGGTGCATTTTCCGATATAATAAGGAATATCTGGGCAAAATTTGAGCAAAATCGATTTTTCAGTCGTGGCCGCTTTATGTTTGATTTTTGTGGACATCCTCTCTTAAACTCTCAACCGGTAAAACACGTTTGACAAGTTTTTGTTGTTGTGCGATGGGTAAATACTTGCCACGGCTGGTAAATTGCGAGTCCGTTGTACACTTCAAAAACAACATCACGCTCTAAATATAGTAACACGCTATAAATATATACCACAAAATATTATAGCGGCTTTACAAAATATTGAATAAAATGTGAGACATTATACATTAAGATGACTTGAAAACCGCCTAGCGTTCAACAGAATAACTATATATACAACGATTTTTGATCGGTTGAAATTTGTAGTGGCTGAAGTCGCGACGATCAAAAATTGCAATAATTTTCAAAATCAACAGTAATTGGAAACGTTATTATATTATTTGGAGACTTTGGGAATTGGAACTTAACGAAAACCTTTACACAATCTCCAACGTTTAAGTAACAGAAATAAAGTTCGTAGAGCGAATTAAAAAAAATTGATATTGATCGGATAAATACAAAATTTAAAAAAGATATAACAGAAATTCAAATGCACAATTTGTAGCCGTAGGGTGAGGCACCGATTTCAAAATATTTTAGTTCTGGCAATAACGAGATCAAAACCGATACATAAATTTTTCATTTTATCAAAACCGATACATAAACTGGGTGTAGAATTAAAAAGTCGTTCGATTAAAACTGGACAGACAACAAATAAAGCAGTACTATGCCATGCTTGTTTACAGATGACAAACTACAGGGAGTGAAGTCAAATTAGTGACTTCCCATCACGTGATCTTCGTGGATAATGTATGTATGCCCTCTTCGAAATCTCCAAGACACCAAAATTCTGCAACAAGACCTGGATAAGATTACCAACTGGTGTCATAATTGGAGGATGGATTTAAATCAAACCAAGTGTGTAGTCATGCATTTTTCCCAAATTCTTCGACCGACGATCACACAGTACACTCTATCAGGTACTCCAGTCCAACAATCGTCCAGTCAAAAAGATCTTGGCATAATTACCACTAGCGATCTGAAATGGAACAAGCAGGTGCAAGAGATATCGACCAAAGCTAACAAAATGTTAGGTTTCGTCAAGCGAACAGCGTTCGATATTCGGCAGCGACAACTTCGTAAGGTTCTTTACTTGACTATGGTCCGTAGTCAGCTCGCTTATGGTAGTCAAGTGTGGGCAGCCCAGACGGTCAACAACATCATGAACGTTGAACGTGTGCAGCGCCGTGCCACTAAATTTATTTTGTCATTGCCATACCAAACAGCTAGACATCTCGTACAAGGAACGATTGATTACCATCGGCATCATCCCTATATGTTACTGGCATGAGTATTTGGATCTGGTGTATCTGTACAAGTGCATCATTTCTAACTCTGACAGAAACATCTCGATCAACACTCCTGCTCGAGAAACACGAAATACCAACGCAACCAATGGCATTTTACTCGAGGTAGCCAAGTACAAGACAGTGAGCTATCAGAGAAGCCAACAAAACTGTGGTCTTTTTTAAATTTTGTTTAATGAAACATTATAATAATCTCACTGAGGAAATTTACAATCCCGAAGATCCGAGAACATTTAAGTCTGTTTGTGTGAAGTGTCACACAACTCGTCCATTGAGCAGCTTGTCCAATCGATCTTGTTGCTAAATTTATTCATGTCTGTCTGTTTGTCTGTAAGTCTGTTATTGTTTATACTTGTATTTTAAATGTTTTGGAATCCAGTTATTGGAGATCGAACTAATAATCTCTGTGTGGTAATTCCAGCCATGTAGCCTATTTTGTAATTAATTTTATGTAATATAGTGTATTGTGTTCAATGGCAAAATCTTTAAAATAAATAAATAAAATAAAATGTATCGAGAAAGATCAACATATACTTAAAAATAGGTACGCGACGCGTACATGTATCTGCGGAAAACTTGATTCACATTTTGTATTTTCTTGAAAGGAACTGAATAATGAAGATGACATGGGACAATTGAAATATCTCATCACTTCTTATAATAGCAGATAAGATTTAAAATAGGGCTGTACCCAGTGGGGAGGGCAGCAGAGGCAACTGCCCTTCGCTGCCAAGAAAATTTAACTAATTCTATAATATCTGTTATGATTGTAACAGATAATTATGCATTCTAGAAACAAAAATTTCATGCAAACAATATTCAAAGTGTGTATACAGTCGGCTATTTATTTTGTAATCTGTCACTTGTCAATCCCCATACTCATTGAATTTTCAAAACTTTATTGTAATCATATGAAACAAAATGTCTGTCACTTGTTGTTTACACTTGCCAATGTTAACTGTTGAGTAACATACACAAACTACTTGAAGAACATGCATTACTGTAGCAAAGAAGTCAATCACATATCAAAAACCGCTGAATAATAGAGAATGTTTTGAAGGTCATGAGTGAAGTATATAATTCAATTCCAATCCTAGTTAATGATATACGAGGGTGTGAATGGGGTTAACTGACTGCTGACATTTGCCTGAATTTTTGACTGGCAACTGACAAAATATCCTAACTGACAACTGAGAAATGATGAAAAAATGAAGAGTCAGCATTTTCCTGTAATATACTACTTGCAATATATCACACTGACAACTGGCTTAAATTTTAGCTGACAACTGACACCCAAAGACCCTCATTAAGACCCTCATATACCACATTGTTCGGTTTAACACAGAATATCCACACAAAAACAATTTGTATTGTGGGGGAATATCGGTTTGAGTAGAAGGTATCACAAGTTTAGTTTTGTACATATTGTGTGCAATTGATCTGATCCATCCATATAATATGATTATTGTAGCTGTTAAGTCATTATCCATACTACTGAAATTAGCTAAGATTATCTTGCAAGTGGGTTGTTTTGACAAAATTATCCTGCCAATATCCAGTACATTTATTCATCATTCTTGCATTAATCTCTAGACATAAACATTTATGTTAGAAAGCAAAATAACAATGTAATGAGGAGGGAGGCTGGGGATTTTTTTATTAGCATTTGCAAGTGTTTGTAAAGATTTTTTTGATTATTATAAACTGTAATGTGTAAAACCAAAATGTATAAGTATTTTAAATGATAACATCGAACAGAGTTTAATACAGAAATACAGGAGCAGGATTTAATTCAATATCTCCTGAGAATATTAGTCTCCTGTGACATCGTTTATTGACTATTGAATTATACCATTATGTTGCCTGCTATGTTTTGGCTGTGTAAAATATTACACAATACAATCACTGTTTTACTGCATAAATATATAATAAAATAATAAATATGTGGTATTTGACTACTTACCAGATGAGGATAAGTCTCCATGTTGATAGATGACTTCGGAATAATATCGCACGTAGAATGGCACGCGAAAACAAGACAAAATCAAGATATTTTCGATGCCAAAATGTGAAAATTATGACAAAAAACGTGGCCAAACCACGCCCGTTCGCACGTTAGGTGCGGGCACGATGTAAACAAATTAAAATTATATAAGCTCGTCGGTGAATGGCTATGTGTTAACACACGGTACGGTACGTTTGCGACAGCAACATTGTGACCAGGTTTAGCATAATTATGCTAGTTTAGCATAATTTCACAAATTTTTGAAGAGATTTGGAATAATGAAAAATTTAGCATAATTTTAGCATAAAATAACTGCTTGAGCATAATGTTAGCATAATGCTGAAAAACTTCCTTTTGCAAATTTCAAGTAGGCTTTTTTGTAAGGGGAGGGTGGAAATTTGAGGAAAAGTAGGCAAGTAGTCTAAAATGTCTATTGACGAAGTCCAGATGAGGAACCACCCCACCACCATGTATATGTATAGCGCTCAGTCTGATTCTGATTCCCTGGACACGTCACGTGATACATGGTCATGGCGCCTTTTGCTGGTTCAAACTTTCACTTTCATAAACTCGTGTGTCATTCGCTCTGTTATGGCCGATGGCATTTAACAGTTTTACAAATTAATATTTCATCCATATTTTAATCAAATCCACATTTAGCATAATCTATCATGAGTTAGCATAATTTTCTCAGCTATTTAGCATAATCGAATTTTATAATCTGCTCACACTGGACAGCAATATATCTGCTTCGCAGATACAATAACATAAATAAAAATTGTATCCTCCTCTTTTGCCCAATTTCTAGACAAGAGGTTTAGTTAATTCAAGGTCAAATTTCGCTGCAGGAAGAAACTGGAGGGCCCGGAGAATGCCCATGACTTTCGGCAGAGCGTTGACTGACGGTTGTGGGTCTTTTCATATGAGTCCGTAGCGAGAATAGGACCCACGAGCTCAGAAGTGAAAGGCGCTTTCTCCAACGACTGCACCACTGAAGGCCTCGTACAAACTTTCTATATTTTGAGCATTTACACTTCACCGTTGGATTTCCCTGGGCGCCTCATTTAAAATACAGACTGAGCTATCATTGCAGTTTCATCACGCTAGTAACTGTTAACTTTGTTGAACTGTAAAACTAAATTCTGGATCATACAAGGATGACAGTGCATGAGAATTGGTAGTCATGCGACATTGGTTAGCTGTTGTTGACACTTTGCAAAAACTTTCGTGTATTTTTTAAAGTTAAAACCCTGTAACAATTCGTGACTTCCAATTCTTATCACCCCTCATTCGAGTTCAACGGAGCCTACAAAAGGTTAAATTAAGTTCGTTCTCTAATATAATCAACCATTAATACTATAGGCTTAAATTGTTCCATATCTCTACTATCTTTATCTTCAGATATCGATGAATGTGACCTGGACCACGACGACTGTCATGCTCAAGCCACGTGCGCAAACACCCAAGGATCATACACATGCACGTGTAACACAGGTTGGACTGGAAATGGAACTAATTGCGTTGGTAAGTAAAATAATTTTCTTTCGCGTAAAATCAGCACTATCTCTCATTTTGATGGACAAATAAACCACTAGTTTCTTCCAAGCAGTGCATTTGTCGTTAACAAACTCCTTTTTCTATACTCTCATTTCGAAAAAAGTAAGATATTATGAGTTGTGGATTCAATTCGTGTATTTTGAATACGACACGTAAAATGTGTAGAGGAACAAAAATATAAATAAAAATTGTATCCTCCACTTTTGTCCAATTTCTGGACAAGAGGTCTAGTTAATTCAAGATCAACATTCGCTGCAGGAAGAAACTGGAGGGCCCGGAGAAAGCCCATGACTTTCGGCAGAGCGTTGACTGACGGTTGTGGGTCTTTTCACATGAGTCCGTAGCGAGAATAGGACCCACGAGCTCAGAAGTGAAAGGCGCTTTCTCCGACGACTGCACCACTGAAGGCCTCGTACAAACTTTCTATATTTTGACCATTTACACTTCACCGTTGGTTCTCCCTGGGCGCCTCATTTGAAATACAGACTGAGCAATCATTGCATTTTCATCACGCTAGTAACCTTTAACTTTGTTGAACTTTAAAACTAAATTCTGAATCAAACGAGGATGACAGTGCACGAGAATTGGTAATCATGCGACATTGGTTAGCTGTTGTTGACACTTCCGAAAAATTGTCATGTATATTTTAAAGTTAAAACCCGGTAATAATTCGTGATTTCCAATTCTTATCACCCCTCATTCGAGTTCAACGGGGCCTACGGAAAGTTAACTTAATTTCGTTCTCTAACATAATCAATCATTAATACTATAGGCTTAAATTTTAACATATCTCCACTATCTTTATCTTCAGATATCGATGAATGTGACCTGGACCTCGACGACTGTCATGCTCAAGCCACGTGCGCAAACACCCAAGGATCATACACATGCACGTGTAACACAGGTTGGACTGGAAATGGAACTAATTGCGTTGGTAAGTAAAATAATTTTCTTTCGCATAAAATCAGCACTATTTCGCCTACTGATGGACAAGTAACCCACTAGTCTCTTACGAACAGGGCATTTGTCGTTAACAAACTCCATACTCTCATGTCAAAAAGAAAGTAAAATATTATGAGTTGTGGATTCATTTCTTGTATTTTTAATAGGGCACGTAAAATGTGTAGAAGAAGAAAAATATAAATAAAAAATATATGCTCCTTTTCTTCCCAATTTTTGGACAACAGGTCTACTTTATTCAAGATCAACTTTTGCTGCAGGAAGAAACTGTTGTCCCGGAGAAAGCCCATGACTTTCGGCAGGGCGTTGACTGACTGTTTCGGGTCTTTTCAGATGAGTCCGTAGCGAGAATCGAACCCACGAGCTCAGAAGTGAAGCACTGAAGGCCTCGTACAAACTTTCTATATTTTGACCATTTACACTTCATCGTTGGTTTTCCCTGGGCACTTCATTTGAAATACAGACTGAACTATCATTGCAGTTTCATCACGCTAGTAACCTTTAACTTTGTTGAACTGTAAAACTAAATTCTGGATCAAACGAGGATGACAGTGCACGAGAATTGGTAGTCATGCGACATTGGTTAGCTGTTGTTGACACTTTGCAAAAACGTTCGTGTATTTTTTAAAGTTAAAACCCTGTAATAATTCGTGACTTCCAATTCTTATCACCCCTCATTCGAGTTCAACGGGGCCTACAAAAGGTTAAATTAAGTTCGTTCTCTAATATAATCAATCATTAATATTATAGGCTTAAATTTTTACATATCTCTACTATCTTTATCTTCAGATATCGATGAATGTGACCTGGACCTCGACGACTGTCATGCTCAAGCCACGTGCGCAAACACCCAAGGATCATACACATGCACGTGTAACACAGGTTGGACTGGAAATGGAACTAATTGCGTTGGTAACTAAAATCATTTTCTTTCGCGTAAAATCAGCACTATCTCTCTTTTTGATAAAGAAATAAACCACTAGTTTCTTCCAAGCAGTGCATTTGTCGTTAACAAACTCCTTTTTCTATAGTCTCATGTCGAAAAAAGTAAGATATTATGAGTTGTGGATTCAATTCGTGTATTTTCAATACGACACGTAAAATGTGTAGAGGAACAAAAATATAAATAAAAATTGTATCCTCCACTTTTGTCCAATTTCTGGACAAGAGGTTTAGTTAATTCAAGATCAACTTTCGCTGCAGGAAGAAACTGGAGGGCCCGGAGAAAGCCCATGACTTTCCGCAGAGCGTTGACTGACGGTTGTCGGTCTTTTCACATGAGTCCGTAGCGAGAATAGGACCCACGAGCTCAGAATTGAAAGGCGCTTTCTCCGACGACTGCACCACTGAAGGCCTCGTAGAAACTTTCTATATTTCGACCATTTACACTTCACCGTTGGTTTTCCCTGGGCGCCTCATTTGAAATACAGACTGAGCTATCATTGCATTTTCATCACCCTAGTAACCTTTAACTTTGTTGAACTTTAAAACTAAATTCTGGATCAAACGAGGATGACAGTGCACGAGAATTGGTAGTCATGCGACATTGGTTAGCTGTTGTTGACACTTCCGAAAAATTGTCATGTATATTTTAAAGTTAAAACCCTGTAACAATTCGTGACTTCCAATTCTTATCACCCCTCATTCGAGTTCAACGGGGCCTACGGTAGGTTAAGTTAAGTTCGTTCTCTAATATAATCAATCATTAATACTATAGGCTTAAATTTTAACATATCTCTACTATCTTTATCTTCAGATATCGATGAATGTGAACTGGACCTCGACGACTGTCATGCTCAAGCCACGTGCGCAAACACCCAAGGATCATACACATGCACGTGTAACACAGGTTGGACTGGAAATGGAACTATTTGCGTTGGTAAGTAAAATAATTTTCTTTCTCGTAAAAGCATCACTATCTCTCTTTTTGATGGACAAATAAACCACTAGTTTCTTCCAATCATTGCATTTGTCGTTAACAAACTCCTTTTTCTATACTCTCATGTCGAAAAGAAAGTAAAATGTTATGAGTTGTGTATTCAACCCTTGTATTTTAGTAGGGCACGTAAAATGTGTAGAAGAACAAAAATATAAATAAAAATAGTATCCTCCACTTTTGCCCAATTTCTGGACAAGAAGTTTAGTTAATTGAAGATCAACTTTCGCTCCAGGAAGAAACTGGAGGGCCCGGAGAAAGCCGATGACTTTCGGCAGAGCGTTGACTGACTGTTTTGCGTCTTTTCACATGAGTCCGTAGCGAGAAACGAACCCACGAGCTCAGAAGTGAAACACTGAAGGCCTCGTACAAACTTTCTATATTTTGACCATTTACACTTCGCCGTTGGTTTTCCCTGGGCACCTCATTCGAAATACAGACTGAACTATCATTACAGTTTCATCACGCTAGTAACCTTTAACTTTGTTGAACCGTAAAACTAAATTCTGGATCAAACGAGGATGACAGTGCACGAGAATTGGTAGTCATGCGATATTGGTTAGCTGTTGTTGACACTTTGCCAAAACTTTCATGTATTTTTTAAAGTTAAAACCCTGTAACAATTCGTGGTGGCCGGACATTTTGCCGAAAGACGCTTTGCCGAAAGACATTTTGCCGAAAGATATTTTGCCGAACGGACATTTTGCCGACGGACGTTTTGGCGAACGGACGTTTTGCCCAACGGACATTTTGCCGAGTGTACATTTTGCCGAACGGACAGTTTGACGAACGGACATTTTGCCGAAAATAGAGATATCTTCTGAACTTTAAATGTTCGCTTACACGGTCAAAGTTTCTGTGATTAAAGTCATTAATTGTCTATTTTGATAACAGAAACTTTGATAATGAACGATTACGGAAAATTCGCAATATAAAGGATAATATCATTCAACATCATTCATGAATGTGATTTCCCTGAGAACTGTGAATGTATTCCATGATTCTGGAAGTGAAATTCGCTTACGTCGTATATATACGGTTGTTTGTTTACGATCTGACGTCAAAACACGTTCCTAAGAAATGAGTTATCCGCTGGACAAACAAGCTACCAACATGGTTATGCATTGCTAACAACCATTATGCACTGCTAATGACCATTACAGTATGCACTGCTAATGACCATATAATGGTTATTTTACACAATGGTTGAGAATTACACAGTTGAGAAATGAGTCACAGTCCCAAACATTTTGACGAAATAACATCTTTATTTTCGGCAAGTTGTCCTTTCGGCAAACTGTCCGTTGGGCAAAATGACCGTCGGCAGAATGTCCGTTCGGCAAAATGTCTGTCGGTAAAGTGTCTTTCGGCAAAGTGTCTTTCGGCAAAATGTCCGGGTACCACAATTCGTGACTTCCAATTCTTATCACCCCTCATTCGAGTTCAACGGGGGCTACGGAAGGTTAACTTAAGTTCGTTCTCTAATATAATCGATCATTAATACTATAGGCTTAAATTTTAACATATCTCTACTATCTCTATCTTCAGATATCGATGAATGTGACCTGGACCTCGACGACTGTCATGCTCAAGCCACGTGCGCAAACACCCAAGGATCATACACATGCACGTGTAACATAGGTTGGACTGGAAATGGAACTAACTGCGTTGGTAAGTAAAATAATTTTCTTTCGCATAAAATCAGCACTATTTCTCCTATTGATGGACAAGTAACCCACTAGTCTCTTACGAACAGGGCATTTGTCGTTAACAAACTCCATACTCTCATGTCAAAAAGAAAGTAAAATATTATGAGTTGTGGATTCAATTCTTGTATTTTTAATAGGGCACGTAAAATGTGTAGAAGAAGAAAAATATAAATAAAAAATTGATGCTCCTCTTCTGCCCAATTTTTGGACAACAGGTCTACTTTATTCAAGATCAACTTTTACTGCAGGAAGAAAGTGTAGGTCCCGGAGAAAGCCCATGACTTTCGGCAGAGCGTTGACTGACTGTTTCGGGTCTTTTCACATGAGTCCGTAGCGAGAATCGAACCCACGAGCTCAGAAGTGAAACACTGAAGGCCTCGTACAAACTTTCTATATTTTGACCCTTTACATTCACCGTTGGTTTTCCCCGGGCACTTTATTTGAAATACAGACAGAGCTATCATTGCAGTTTCATCACGCTAGTAACCTTTAACTTTGTTGAACTGTAAAACTAAATTCTGGATCAAACGAGGATGACAGGGCACGAGAATTGGTAGTCATGCGACATTGGTTAGCTGTTGTTGACACTTTGCAAAAACTTTCATGTATTTTTTAAAGTTAAAACCCTGTAACAATTCGTGACTTCCAATTCTTATCACCCCTCATTCGAGTTCAACGGGGGCTACAAAAGGTTAAATTAAGTTCGTTCTCTAATATAATCAATCATTAATACTATAGGCTTAAATTTTAAAATATCTCTACTACCTTTATGTTCAGATATCGATGAATGTGACCTGGACCTCGACGACTGTCATGCTCAAGCCATGTGTGCAAACACCCAAGGATCATACACATGCACGTGTAACACAGGTTGGACTGGAAATGGAACTAATTGCGTTGGTAAGTAAAATAATTTTTTCCCCGTGAAATCAGCACTCTCTCTCTTTTTGATGGACAAATAAACCACTAGTTTCTTCCAAGCAGTGCATTTGTCGTTAACAAACTCCTTTTTCTATACTCTCTTGTCGAAAAAGTAAAATATTATGAGTTGTGGATTCAATTCGTGTATTTTCACTAGTACATATAGAATGTGTAGAAGAACAAAAATATAAATAAAAATTGTATCCTCCACTTTTGTCCAATTTCTGGACAAGAAGTTTAGTTAATTCAAGATCAACTTTCGCTGCAGGAAGAAACTGGAGGGCCCGGAGAAAGCCCATGACTTTCCGCAGAGCGTTGACTGACTGTTTCGCGTCTTTTCACATGAGTCCGTAGCGAGAATCGAACCCACGAACTCAGAAGTGAAACACTGAAGGCCTCGTACAAACTTTCTATATTTTGACCCTTTACACTTCACCGTTGGTTTTTCCTGTGCGCCTCATTTGAAATACAGACTGAACTATCATTACAGTTTCATCACGCTAGTAACCTTTAACTTTGTTGAACTGTAATACAAAATTCTGGATCAAACGAGGATGGCAGTGCACGAGAATTCTTAGTCATGCGACATTGGTTAGCTGTTGTTGACACTTTGCAAAAACTTTCATGTATTTTTTAAAGTTAAAACCCTGTAACAATTCGTGGTGGCCGGACATTTTAACGAAAGACACTTTGCCGAAAGACATTTGCTGAAAGACATTTTGCCGAACGGACATTTTGCCGACGGACGTTTTGCCGAACGGACGTTTTGCCCAACGGACATTTTGCCGAATGTACATTTTGCCGAACGGACAGTTTGACGAACGGACATTTTGCCGAAAATACAGATATCTTCTGAACTTTAAATGTTCGCTTCCACCGTCAAAGTTTCTGTGATTAATGTCATTAATTGTCTATTTTGATAACAGAAACTTTGATAATGAACGATTACGGAAAATTCGCAATATAAAGAATAACATCATTCAACATCATTCATGAATGTGATTTCCCTGAGAACTGTGAATGTATTCCATGATTCTCGAAGTGAAATTCGCTTACGTCGTCTATATATACGCTTGTTTGTTTACGATCTGACGTCAACACACGTTCCTAACAAATGAGTTATCCGCTGGACAAACAAGCTACCAACATGGTTATGCATTGCTAACAACCATTATGCACTGCTAATGACCATTACAGTATGCACTGCTAATGACCATATAATGGTTATTTTGCACAATGGTTGAGAATTACACAGTTGAGAAATGAGTCACAGTCCCAAACAATTTGACGAAATAACATCTTTATTTTCGGCAAGTTATCCATTCGGCAAACTGTCCGTAGGGCAAAATGTCCGTAGGGCAAAATGTCCGTTCGGCAAAATGTCCGTTCGGCAAAACGTCCGTTCGGCAAAATGACAGTCGGCAAAATGTCCGTTCGGCAAAATGTCTTTCGGCCAAGTGTGTTTCGGGAAAGTGTCTTTCGGCAAAATGTACGGGTACCACAATTCGTGACTTCCAATTTTTATCACCCCTCATTCGAGTTCAACGGGGCCTACAAAAGGTTAAATTAAGTTCGTTCTCTAATATTTTCAATCATTAATACTATAGGCTTAAATTTTAACATATCTCTACTACCTTTATCTTCAGATATCGATGAATGTGACCTGGACCTCGACGACTGTCATGCTCAAGCCACGTGCGCAAACACCCAAGGATCATACACATGCTCGTGTAACACAGGTTGGACTGGAAATGGAACTAATTGCGTTGGTAAGTAAGTATTTTTTTTCGCGGGAAATCAGCACTATCTCTCTTTTTGATGGACAAATAAACCACTAGTTTCTTCCAAGCAGTGCATTTGTCGTTAACAAACTCCTTTTTCTATACTCTCATGTCGAAAAAAGTAAGATATTATGAGTTGTGGATTCAATTCGTGTATTTTCAGTAGGACACGTAGAATGTGTAGAAGAACAAAAATATAAATAAAAATTGTATCCTCAACTTTTGGCCAATTTCTGGACAAGAAGTTTAGTTAATTCAAGATCAACTTTCGCTGCAGGAAGAAACTGTAGGTCCCGGAGAAAGCCCATGACTTTCGGCAGAGCGTTGACTGACTGTTTCGGGTCTTCTCGCATGAGTCCGTAGCGAGAATCGAACCCACGAGCTCAGAAGTGAAACACTGAAGGCCTCGTAGAAACTTTCTATATTTTGACCCTTTACACTTCACCGTTGGCTTTCCCTGGGCACCTCATTTGAAATACAGACTGAGCTATCATTGCAGTTTCATCACGCTAGTAACCTTTAACTTTGTTGAATTGTAAAACTAAATTCTGGATCAAACGAGGATGACAGTGCACGAGAATTGGTAGTCATGCGACATTGATTAGCTGTTGTTGACACTTTGCAAAACCTTTCATGTATTTTTTAAAGTTAAAACCCTGCAACAATTCGTGACTTCCAATTCTTGTCTACAAAAGGTTAAATTAAGTTCGTTCTCTCATATAATCAATCATTAATACTATAGGCTTAACTGTTAACATATCTCTACTATCTTTATCTTCAGATATCGATGAATGTGACCTGGACCTCGACGACTGTCATGCTCAAGCCACGTGCGCAAACAACCAAGGATCATACACATGCACGTGTAACACAGGTTGGACTGGAAATGGAACTAATTGCGTTGGTAAGTAAAATAATTTTCTTTCGCATAAAATCAGCATTATTTCTCCTATTGATGGACAAGTAACCCACTGGTCTCTTACGAACAGGGCATTTGTCGTTAACAAACTCCATACTGTCATGTCAAAAAGAAAGTAAAATATTATGAGTTGTGGATTCAATTCTGGTATTTTTAATAGGGCACGTAAAATGTGTAGAAGAAGAAAAATATAAATAAAAAATGTATGCTCCTCTTCTGCCCAATTTTTGGACAACAGGTCTACTTTATTCAAGATCAACTTTTACAGGAAGAAACTGTAGGTCCCGGAGAAAGCCCATGACTTTCGGCAGAGCGTTGACTGACTGTTTCGGGTCTTCTCGCATGAGTCCGTAGCGAGAATCGAACCCACGAGCTCAGAAGTGAAACACTGAAGGCCTCGTACAAACGTTCTATATTTTGACCCTTTACACTTCACCGTTGGCTTTCCCTGGGCACCTCATTTGAAATACAGACTGAGCTATCATTGCAGTTTCATCACGCTAGTAACCTTTAACTTTGTTGAATTGTAAAACTAAATTCTGGATCAAACGAGGATGACAGTGCACGAGAATTGGTAGTCTTGCGACATTGATTAGCTGTTGTTGACACTTTGCAAAAACTTTCATGTATTTTTTAAAGTTAAAACCCTGTAACAATTCGTGACTTCCAATTCTTGCCTACAAAAGGTTAAATTAAGTTCGTGCTCTAATATAATCAGTCATTCATACTATGGGCTTAAATTTTAAAATATCTCTACTACCTTTATCTTCAGATATCGATGAATGTGACCTGGACCTCGACGACTGTCATGCTCAAGCCACGTGCGCAAACACCCAAGGATCATACACATGCACGTGTAACACAGGTTGGACTGGAAATGGAACTAATTGCGTTGGTAAGTAAAATAATTTTTTTCGCGTGCAATCAGCACTATCTCTCTTTTTGATGGACAAATAAACCACTAGTCTCTTACGAACAGGGGATTTTTTCGTTAACAAACTCCATACTCTCATGTCAAAAAGAAAGTAAGATGTTATAAGTTGTGGATTCAATTCGTGTATTTTCAGTAGGACACGTAAATGTGTAGAAGAACAAAAATATAAATAAAAATTGTATCCTCCACTTTTGCCCAATTTCCGGAGAAGAAATTTTGTTAATTCAAGATCAACTTTCGCTGCAGGAAGAAACTGGAGGGCCCGGAGAAAGCCCATGACTTTCCGCAGAGCGTTGACTGACTGTTTCGCGTCTTTTCACATGAGTCCGTAGCGAGAATCGAACCCACGAGCTCAGAAGTGAAACACTGAAGGCCTCGTACAAACTTTCTATAATTTGACCCTTTAC